CAATGAACTTACCGAGGTCTAGAACGAAAAGACCTTCTCCCTTTGAAATGACTCTAGGGAAAGGGGGAAGGTTTTTCACTCTCTACTCGGTAATGTTCAAGATTTGGCTTTTCCACTGGTCATGCTAAGGAGTATCAAAACGTAAAGAAGTCACATTTTTGTTAGTTTTCAGTCTTTTGAGTTATAAGTTACGACAATTAGTGAGTAATTGGTTCCCTTGCACTTTAAACTCGGTTATACCTCAAGTGTTTATGGAAAGGTGAACATGGTTGTCTAAGCATTCACACCTAGTCCGACAACTTAGTTTACCACCGGCTCTATGCAAAGGAAACAAAGGTTGGGTGGCGGTGGGAGGAAAAATTTGACCACAAGGCATAAGTGAGGGAGCCTGGGAAGATTTGGTTGTTTTACAGAAACTGGTTACAACCTAGATTGGAATGAGGGTAAAACCGATATTGAGTTGAGTATATACACTGGAGAGATAGACTTCGCCTGCAATAAACTGATTTTACATAACAATAAAGACACAAATAAGGAGTTTTTAGGACTTAATGAGATTTATACCGCCTTTTTGTTTAAAAGAGAGAAGGAAGCTGAAGTAGCCTTTCTATGGACCTCTTCTGCAATATGTTGTTCAATGAATCCACAGTTGTCAAGCTGTGTCGCACATTGACCACTAAAATTTCTTTTTCATTCATTAAACTAGTTTTTTCTTACTGCAGTTGTCTTCTCTGCATGCTGCGTCTTGGAGAATACCTTCAGAAATATTCAGATACAAAAGACAGAGCATAACTTTTGCACAAAAATTCTAGAAAATCAATTTAAAAATGCTTAGCGAACCGTTCCAACCTTTTACTTTTTTCGTTGAGCACAACATGGGTAAACACTTCTATACATGTTAATAATAATTCAACTTCGAACAAGACCATAATTCGAAATCTACAACTTTTTGTAGAATATTCGACCGCCACTAGTTTTCTTTCAGCCGAAAGAATGTCACAAAACTTGGACCAAAAATAAAATTATAAGTTGTTGTTTCTTTTTATCAGCTTGTAACGTAAGTCCTAAGACACTCCAAATTCTTACAGCAACAACTCGTACGCTTTACAATTTCAATTAGGGTCCAGACACCTTCGATAGGGGAAAGCAAGCTCTACAAAATGGCATGCAAAAGTTCGCACCAACTTCTACCCACTGTAAGCCTGCATCCAAGATTCGAGTCGTACTGAAGCCTCAAAAATCGCGAAAAAAATTCAAATCTTTGCTCGAAAAAAATCCTAGGAATCTCCAACTTGCTCACACAGATTGTCATCACATCAAGTACTCAAATATATTGTTGCTGTACTTTTCCTCAACTGAATACGACAATATTTATGTCCATGCAAAAGCGAAAGTTATGCTGTTTCCATTCATGTAATTGCATACTACAAGCACTTAAGAGTATAACGGTAGTTTTTTAGATTTCCACAGGCCCTAGTTTTCGAAAACTACCAAATTCAGTTTTCCTCTCTAGGGTGTTCCATGTTAAAATCAATATTTCTTGGAAACTAGGGCTTGTGAAAAGCTGAAAATTTGCGGTTATCACTTCAAGAGGTTGTAGTGTGCAATTTTTGTGAGCAAGTTAGAGATTCGTACGATTTCTTTGAACTAAGTTATGAATTTTTCGCGATTTTTTTACCTTAAGTACGACTCAGATTTTAAGCAAAATTGCGAATTTTTGCATACCATCTTGTAGAGCTTGCTTTGCCCCATCGAAGGATGCCCTGAACACCTACTGAAAATGTGAAGCGTACGACTTATCGCCGTAAGAAGCTGAAGTGTCTCAAGACTTATATTACCACCTAATAGCATTTTTGGTCTGAAGTCAAAAAGATGAATATAAATGTTTCCTTTTAGCTTTGATTGCCGCGATGTGGTGTCAAAAGTCTTCGCTACCAAAATGCATTCAACTTGTATTTCATCACATGGATCCTGTGAATCTAAAGTAACTTACGGAATTATAGAATTCGGTCCATCGGTGTATGCTTATGTTCCAACCTGACAAAGCTCGGTACAAAATATTTGTCAGTTATCTGAACCCCCCCCTCGCTCCCCCGCCCCCCGCACATTCGTAGAAAAAAGAACAAGACTTCAAGAAGTATTTCCACTTTTCGGAAGTCATGTTGTAGATGTGACTCTTTCGAGGAGCGCTGAGGTAAACGCAGGAATTTGAAACCCTTCATTTTTATTATGTGTAAATTTTTCGTATTTTCAGAATCTTACATGAGATTTTTAAAGTTTTGATAGCCATCAGAAAGGATTACCTTTTGAATAGGCAAACGTGAATGTTTGTTTCCCAGCTTTTTTTGATAATCGCTGAGTAATTTTCTGAAAGTAACTTCTACTGGGTTGTAATGAATACTCCTGAGCACCTGCGAACATTTTCTTCAAACTGCTGTAACTTTAAGCATGATCCTTTCTTAGAGCTACGAATTACATCACAAAAAATTTTTTTGTGCAACATATATCTGTCTTGTTGGCTTTCAGCACCTCATAGTGGTCCACCAGCATACTTAGAAAGGAATAAACTCGACACGAAAAAATGTTTGTTTGGGCAGGATTATCTCAGGCGTGATGAAAGCGGGGAAGCTCAGATGTTGCAGTCATAAATAAGTCTCCTGGGGCTTTATGGGGACCAATCAAGTCTTTGAATGGACAACCTGCAAAAAAAGGTTTTCCAGAAAGTTTGAAAATCGACTATTTTTCGCCCCTAAAAATGCACTATTTTTTTGAGTAAGTGGCTTGCAGCTTCTCGTTCTACAGAGGGCGGAACAAATCTTTATGTACTCGGACATTGCTGGAATAATGCCCTACACATCTTTTGGACCCATCATGCAGGCGTGGTGACCATCGCGGAAACGACGCCAGCTGCGAAAAGAGTCGTTGTCAGAGGAAAGTTCAAGAGCTTGTAATTTCTAGTCGCGAACTGCCAAACTTTAGTGCAGCTGCGGATTAGAATTAACAGGCTCACTATTCAATGCACCTAGGACTTGGACAAAATTCTTCGACACAAAAAATGGCAGTAGGAAGAGACTTTTGGCATTTTTATGGTTAGAATAATTTCCTTTTCTGACGTGCAGATCAAGCTCAAACACAGTTTGACATTGATAAAAATCAGAAGCGGTCTGAAAGTTTAGGCTTCCTTCCACTGACAGTATAAAATGTCGTTAAAGTTTGACCGAGCGCCAAAAAAATGCGTCAGAGAATGAAATTTCGACAAAGTGCCCGGGAACTTTCTTTACAACCTTATAAAAAATCCCATAATGCATTGTTGCATAATACAAAAAAAGCTTCAGAGTATTAAGGTTTCAACTCTCTATTAATACTATGACTGATTCTACAAAGTGAACGAGCGACTATGGGTTCAAAGAAAGCTGAAACTTGTACAACAGGGTGCTTTCATAAGACTGAGACATACGGTAATTGTGAGCGCAAATCACTCATGAACCGCAAAGAAACTTTATTAAAGAAGGCATCCATTGTGTTCATAGTTATGTGTTGGATAATGGCCTTATAAATCAGAAAGATTAGAAGAGGAGCCAGAGTCCTGCAAGGAGATCAAAAGACGCCTATGAGGGAAAGCTTTTGCCAGAGTGCGCATTTCTCCTCATTGCCGACGGTGCTCTTATGAGTTCTGGTAAAGAGGTGAGAACGTTCAAAACCAGACTCCTACTATATAGTGAACATCAGGTCTAGAGGAGATGGTACTCACGATAACTTCTCTGCTTCCCCTCGAAAACCCTTCCAGCTTGACATTTATAACCCTTTTGTCAGGAAAGAACTGAACAGTCCTAGGTTATCGATTAGACGAAAATTCAAAGGTGCCAACAATACGAAGAGCGCAAAAAAGCGCTCGAATTGTCAAGCAGCAAAATGGTTTCACCTTATGTTGTTGTGGTTTGATATAACTGAAGCACTTGTCCGCGCTCATCCGTGTAGGGCCCTAGACGAGGGTCGGACAACCTGCAACTCAGATTTCGAAGCAGAACCAAGGAACAAGCCCAAGGATGACAAAAACATAAACAAATGGGGCAAAGGACATTCACGGCAAATACAGTTTTTTTTTTCTTCTTCTCTTATGTTTCTAGTGGGTGAGAACATTTCTTCGGAGAATGTGCAACTGAGCGAAGAGTTGAGAGTTGCACATTCTCCGAAGAAATGTTCTCAGTTGAGCTCAACAATAGGTAAATGAAGAACTAATGATGGTGCCATTTCTCACAGAATCAAATTTGTTGTGTCGGCGATGTTATATCTTCAAGCACAAATCATTGGAGAGAGCGATTTCTGTTGCAATGCACATAATGTAGCAATCATAAAGAATTTATTGTGCGAACATATAGATATAATGGGAGAGGAATAAAATTTAGTTCATCCTGTATACAAGCTTAATTCACGACCAGGCAAATTTTCTCGATTTCGATCACTTCGACCATACCACCTATGGTGCCTATTTTCTCGTTTTCATATGGACTAATAGATGGTTTCTGATGAAAGTCTGTCTATATGTCTCTAGACATGTGCCATCCCGCACAGTTTCATCGTGAACTTGCATTTTCTAAATACGACCCAACGGTGAGTCGTATGGTCTGGAGTGGCGGTACACATACGACCGGACCTAATAAAGTGCGAGGGAAGGAAAAAGCCGAGAAGATTCACTGTTAGCAACTTCAGTAGAGATCACGGCTAGGGATAGGTCACTCTCATTTATAATGTCTGCGACCCGAGCCTGTCCCAAACACCAAAAATTGCTTCTTTGAGTGCAGATAAATCTTCAAGCACGTTGGCGTTGCGTTTACGGGACATCAGGAAAGCAGCAGATTGTCCATTTCCATCGAAATAAAATATTAATGGCATTATCAAACTCTCCCATAGATTTCGAGCGTTATCGCAGGACATAAATTCTTGATTATGAGAGTCGCACATACGAATTTAAGGGTGTGCAAGGCGAGCATAGGCAAAAAATGTTGGCACATACAATATTTCTGCTCTGTATAGCATCAGGTAAGGTGATAGTCACTTATTATATCTAATTTCAGCGTCACTAACCCTAATTATTAGGCAGTAATCATTTGTAGGCGTTGTGAACTCCCAACTCAGTGGCCTCAGATTCGGCGGATTAGGTAGGCAAAATCAATTCGGTTTGACCAGTGGAGGAGGAGGAATAGGAGGAGGAAGATTAGGAGGACTAGGAGAAGGAAGAGTACCAGCCCTTTCTAGCTTTCATCCTGGACGACCAGCCTTTTCTAGCTCATTTCGACAACATATCGACACAACAAAATCTGTTGTCCAAATTCCAATGGGTCCACCCTCACAGATTCCAAAGCTTCCCATCAAATACGAACCACCACAAAAGAGTATCGGAGATATGATTACGAACCGAATTCCTTTGTTGGTAAGTGCACTTTTCAAGTCCGGAAGACTGGCTCTCAAAGTAACTATCTTCTATTGCCCTAAACATGCGACCAGTTCAGCTTTTCCACTACAAACAACTTGCTGCGAAAATGAACAAGCAGCCAACACCTAATTGTTTTCATCACTAGTTGTTTGCTTTCCGTGACAAATTGTTTGCTTCAATTTGAGCAATTTGAAGCAAACATTTTGTCACGAAATATTACATCAAAGGAACTAGGCACTATGCTGATAGTTCTAAAGAAAAGAAATTCACGATTTGACCCAAACTAGCACCAGAGCTCTCCATTCGCTTTCCTCGTGCCATCAACTGCAGTTATCAGCGCTGATTCGTAATCATATAGACATTCTTTAAACTCAACGTAAGAGCAAAGTCCCCTTTGTTTTTGAAAATTTCTTACGAAATCCCCTTTGACCCTCACTAGACGTAAAAACCCTCAGAAAACGAAATACTGACTAAAAAGTGTCGAAGTCGCAATTTTTGTGTCTTTTCGGCCACAAAAACGATATCCAGTTTGAGCCGCTGCCAGCTGTGCCGAGCCCTGGTTAAAATCTTTCCGATCGACGTCAACAAAAGAAATAACATTGGCACAGAGGAATAACGAGAATGACTAGACTCATAACACAGTATCGTTATTGAACGAAGATCCAAGATGAGGGAGGCTGCCAATCATGACAAGCAAAACAGTATTTGTAAGTAGGGTTGAGTGTTGGGTCAGGCGTGTCCGATTAGAAGGGGTCGTATTGGGGACAAGACTAGGGGAGGAGGGTCGTAACCAAGGGTCGAATTCGTTCAGAAAATTGAGGAGATGCACGATTGAGGTGAGGAAGAGCGCTAATTCGGTGAATATAGCAATCTCAGCAGAACTGAAGGGATGACGGCCATGAACAGCGTACTGATTGATTTCACAATCGAATTTCAGCCAAATTCGTCTCTTACCTTGAATTATAAGGTTACCAAGGAAGCTTGCTGTGAAGGGTATCGTTTCCGTAATCAGCATATCAAGTTACCTCTACGCATCACCTACTGCATTTTCTAGTGTTTCTCAACGTTAAAACGTGACTAAATTGGTTTCAAAAGTGAAAAAAGTCAGCTTTTTTGCACTCTTAACAAAGCATATTCTTTATTAGTCTATGCTAAAGATTATACTTCAAAATGGAGCAAGAAGTTCTGCCAAAATTCTAAACACCGCGTTTTCCTCCTTGAGTGCTTTAACTTCACGGATTACCACAAAACCGAAACAAGCTGAAGCAAGCTCAAACATCTATCGTTGGGGTTTGTGCTAGCGAATCACATAAAACTTGGACGAAAAGCTCCTTCACAGATAAAGTTATGGGGCCAGGCACAACCCCTCAAAACGTCAGGACGCTTGAGCTTTTATAGTCTTCTGCCTGGCCCCTTTAACGTGCCTTTAAAATTCAAAAATTTTTTCACTTCTAGTATGACTGTCGAACTTAAAGCCTCTTCTTGCATTATAGCTGTGAAAGGAGGGCCATCTAGATCTAAAATTTGCCGTCGAATTGTGTTTGCCGCATTGTCGTGCGATCGCAGAAATTCGGGCTTAAGAGATCTCCAGAAATCGAGAACCCTCCAATAAAAGCTGCTCCAAAAAGTCACAGCCTGAGTTCCTGGAGGTGAAACGAAGGGGTCGCTTAGGGGCTTTCAGAGGGGGGAGGGTCGTTTATGAAGGACTTGTGCCTGACCTTTTGCTCAACCCTGTTTGTAAGTAATCTAAAATAACTGAACCTGTGATGCCTTTGAGAACAATCGCTGGACGACTATAACGTATTGATTCTATGTCACCTTCTATGCTGTTCGTTGATGCCATGTTCTGTATTTAACACATTGACGACGATACGACCCACCGGTGGGTCGTAAGTTTTCGAAAGCTCTAACTTCGCCAGCATGCGATGGAATTCTACGGTATTCTGGCACAAGGTATTCTGGTTGGGGACACCTTGGCCAAGCTCTAGCCGGAGTGGTCCGGGTCCGGGATACTGTAATGTAATGTTACGGTAGGTATACCGTAGATAGAGGTAAGGCACAGATTTTAGCTCGAATTTCTCGCAGAGAAATTTTCTCGTGCTGTTTTTGATAATTCAAGTTTACATGCACAAGAAATACAGGGAGAGCATGAAACTGATGTCAGCCCATCAAAAATTATCGATCTTACTGATTTTGTTGATTTTTCGCACTGTTTATCCCAGGAAGCTCAAATCTTGCATATATAGGTTTTTTAGCATGCTGATTACGAAAATGATAGTCTCAAGTTCTAATACCGCCTTCTTACATCAGTTTATTGATTCTTAAAAAAAATTCTACCGCACTGTTACCGTAGTCCCACTCTGGGAAAGTAGTGAACAAAGTGGACACTATAATCGTGATCAGCATGTGAAATAACCCCAAAACACAATTTTTCACGAAAATCCGTGATGTTTGGTTCGTACAGAGTGACTACCGTAATTTCACTGTATACTGCCAAAAACTGACACAAATCATATTTTGATAATCAGCGCCTTCGATAACCCTTGTGAGGATATTCTCAGAGACATGTTTAATTTGTTACAAAAAGACTACCATTTTGGACAATACGACCCACGGGTGGGTCGTAAGTTTGGCAGAGCAAAAAAGGCTCCTGTCCGAAATGGCAGTATTCGAAAAATCGGGCTTGTCGTCAATGTGTTAACATTGCAGAGTCGAGTCGTTGACCTCAGAGACTGGTCGTAGTTTGCGGAGCAAGCGCCGCGTGGCCAAAGTACAAGTCGTGCTCTCGTGACACAGCAACTCCGTGCGTGCTCCGCAATCTATAGTACATTCATAAAATCGTGACGACGGATTTAATTGCGGACTTTGCGCTCACAGGAGCATAAAACGCTTATAGAAGAAGGCATCACATCAACGTTCAGCTCAGTCACTTCCAGTATCTAAATATTATCCTACGTAAGCAAAAAAAAACCATTCGACTACGGACGAAAACCAAGAGAATGCGATTTCCGGAAGTGGCGTGCGTGCCGCGCGCGGTCGCGCCATCGTCACGATTTTTCAAACGTTCTATACGCCACTTCGTGCGATCGACGACTCGACGATAGATGCGTCGTGTAAATTCAGACCTTCGATTAAAGACCATGCAGCCTTTGCTCAGAGGACGTTCACCGCATTAGAGGGTATGGTAATGATCAACGTAAGGAATGTGATGGACTATAATCGCTCCTTAGCACAGAATCGAAGTTCCACATTCAAATTATAGAGGATATACTCTGGAAAGCATGTCTTGGGTATCCAAATCTGTCGGCTCATTCAGAAACTCAGGAACAACAGAACTTTGACTGTCTTGAACTGGAGGATCGTTATCGTGTAGTTTTGTAATTTGGCTAAGAGAACCCATCGACTCCCAAAGTGTCATGAACAGACTATTCCAAGAATGTCGTTATGCAACATTCATACTAAGCGTTATTCTCATTCAGCGCAAACTCCCCTTCCAAGTCAAAGTTGGGTGGGCGAAGGCAAGTGTGAGTTTTTCAGCAAATGGCATTGAACCTTGAAAATAAGTGGCTGACTTTTTGTAGGGAAATCCAATGACAGATTTGAGAAGGGAATTGGACAAGATGAGGTATGAAGAACTAAGGAGACATAATGAAAAAGCTTCAAACCCGTGGCCGAGGCATCCCTGAAGTATCCATTACTTCCCTGTTTTGTGCCTTTCTATATAATAAAATGGAAGAATCAAGCTGAACAGTGGAAAGGATAACGTAAACATCTCAAACTTTCACCGTGATTTTCTATAGTTCTCTACGGTTTTTAGCGAGATTACAGCAATTACAGATTTAGAAGAAGCAGAATGTACTGCCTGTGGTTAAGAAGAAACTTATATTAGCTTGATTCGAATGACCGTGACAAGTCAATCTTGCATGGAAATGCAGAACAAAAACTTTGTGAAAAAAATGGCATTTTGCGGGGATAGTCCCCAATCGCTGCAGTCTCTTCACAAAATCATTGAAAACAAGAAATTCAGCTTAATGGTTACCTAAATTTTGGTTAGCCAATTAAATCGTTCTCGCTGGCTAGCGTATAATGTAACATTTGCATCTATTAAAAGCGCAACTAACATTTGCATCTATTAAAAGCGCAACATTCTACTATTTTGGAAAGAAAATGGTGAGTTAAAGCACACATACGAAGCTATTTAGTTTCGTTCGAGTTACGCAGAACTTCCACTCCATCCTAAGAGAGGTGTTGAAATCAGTTGATGTTATCTCTCATTTACGTACACATATAGAGTAAAGTAGTGTATCGATTAGAAAGAGGATTATAGCGAACGAACGTTCGATACCTTTCGTGGATCCCCTGTAAACGTGGAGCGTGGAATTTGACTGACAATGAGTTTACTGATTGAAAGAATGAATGCCTATACATATAGAAGGCAATGATAGGGTTGGGCGAATCCTATTAGGTTGTCCCATAAGTCTTCTTATTTTTGAGTTTTCGCTGTAATCCCATGAGTCTCTTTTTTTTTGGCTTTCCGCTGTAATAAGTCGTACACTTCTTATCCTTAATAGGACATCTGGATACCGTTCGATTGAGCAAAGCAAGCTCTATAAGATGGACTTTATGCTTTTGCACCAGCTTCGATCCACCCCAAGTTTGAAACCAAAATTTAAAAGTTTCGGATGCCCAGAAAATTGAAAATTTTTCATGTCTTCATTCAGAAAAGTCCTACAGATTTCTCACTCGCTCACGCATATACACCACACTTGCTGTCTTTTTATTAGCTAGAAATCAAAAACTGAAAATTTCCATGTGTTTACCAAAGCGATGGTGTGCTCTTCTTACACTAACAGTTGTATACTACGAGCCCACAGAAGTACAACCGTAAATTTTCAGCTCTCTATAAGCTCTGATTTCCAAGAAATGTTGAGTTGAGCGTGAAAAACCTGAGTGAGGAAAGCTAATTTCGTTATTTCTCAGGAACTAGAGCTTATAGAGGGCCAAAAATCTACAGTTGTACTTCTGAGGGCTCGTAGTATACAACTGTTAGTATAAGAAGAGCACACCTTCACTTTGGTAAACACATGGAAATTTTCGGTTTCCTGATTTCTAGCCAATATAAAACGACGGCAACAACATATATGAGTGTCTGATGTGGTGTATATGCGTGAGCGTGGGGAATCTGTGGGACTTTTCTGGATGAAGATATAAAATTTTTTTCAGTTTTTGGGCACCTGAAACTTTTTAGATTTTGGTTTCCAACTTAAGGTGGACCGAAGCTGGTGCAAAAGCATAAAGTCTATCTTATAGAGCTTGCTTTGCTCTATCGAATGGTGTCCTGACGTCTGTTTAGAATAAGAAGTGTACGACTTATCACAGCGAAAACTCAAAAATGAAAAGACTTATGGGGCAACCTAATACCAGGTGAGTGCAAAAGTCCAATCTCCAGTTTTTAAAAGGTCATGACTTCCTTTCGACTCGATGGATTTTCTTATACTTATATTTATTTGAGAGATGAAACTATCCTTTGTGCAGCAGTACTTCTGCCATGAATTGGCATGAGAAAGTTCGAGAGTTAAAAGCAGTTGAAGAAAATTACTCGAGATTGGCATTCTTCAAGCAGGTCACAAAAATGGGAGTATTTTTTATGGTAGAGAAAATTACGCTTTATACTACAGTAACTTTCTTATGAGTCGAAACGAAAAATATCGAGAGTTAGAAAAGCAAATAAAGAGAATTACTACAGTTAGTAGTTTTTGAGCATGCTCAAAAAGCCTAAATACGTCACAGAGAGACCGAAATGGTTATGAACACGGTTTTGTGACCTCAACTTTTGAGCTGAGCAAAAGTCGTGCCAATCGAGAGCGATTTTGATTTTCGTAGAAAACGCAGACCCGAAAATCCGGAAATTTTACGAAAATCGGAAATGCTTTCGATTAGCACTGTCGCTTTGCTAGAAAGAGAAAGTCACAAAATCTATGCTCATGATTTTTGCGGTCTCTGCTGTGACGTCTTTAGGCTTTTTTGAGCATGCTCAAAACCTGCAAAAGGCAAGGCATCCACTGAAGTCAAGAAGAGCAGGATCCAGAGACGCCGAGAGCAGATTCAAGTATGTTTTTTGAATATCCGTTCGTTGTCATCGGAGGAAAGACTGACAGCGCTTGAAGAAGAATTAAAACTGGTAAAATTTGATTTTGTTGGCCTTTGCGAAACACGCCGCAGCGGCAACTTCCATGCAAAGCGCATGTCTTCTGGATTACACTTTTACAACAGCGGGCGAACGGGAGGAGAAGTTACTCGCAGGGGAGTTGGGGCACTTGTGAATAAGCGATTACATCGACATTGCGCAGGCGTAAAGTCCCTCTCCGACCGTTTACTACAAATTCATTTCGTTCTGCGCGGAAAATCGCTACGAGTAACTGTAGCGTACGCCCCTTGGCAAGAGGAAGAGTACGAAGAATTTCTCGATGAGCTCCACAGCGCGATATCACAAGGGCGTTATGCACACGACATTTTGATTGGCGATTTCAACGCACGTGTAGGAGGAGAAAGAATGCGATCTGAGTTTGTGGGTCAGGAATGCTACGGATCACGAAACAGCAAAGGGCAGGCGTTGGGGGAATTTGCGGAATCGGAAAGGTTTTATATAATGAATACCTTTTTCCAAAAGCCTGAAAGGAGACGGTGGACTTGGCGCTCTCCTAATGGAAGTGTTTTAGAAGAGATCGACTATATATTGATGCGCCAACAACGGGTCATAACTAATGTTGCCGTTCTGAATAGGTTTAACGCGGGGAGTGATCACCGTCTTATTCGAGCCGATGTGAATCTTCGCACGACACGCTTCCATCTCCGTTCTCGTCAACTGCCTCCAGACTATAGCGAGATAAAAATGAAAGCGGCATTGCTTAGTGATAAACGGATTACCAAACTTTCATCCTCAACAATCACTACGACTGACCCGGTTAACTCTTGGCAACAACTGTGTAAATCTATCCGGGATGCTGCTGATTTTGCCAAAGTTTCTTGGGAGCCGCTGGAACGAATCTCTAACCGAACTCGATATCTCTTATTCTTCTAACACATGAACTGAAATATGGATTGAGGCAGACGAACGCTGTAAACGCTCATGTTGATTACGTAACTGTTTGCAAGACTGCGATGGTCAATAAAGGACGATCTCTACCGGCATCACTGTTCCGTCTTAAAACGAGCCATTGAACGCAATCGTATTAAACGCGGCCGTCTCGAGCTTATCCGTCAACATGAAGTCGTATGTCAATTGCGGAGGCCAGATGGGACTATGACCAGCACTTCCACAAAAGCTCAATCACTTGCTAATACCTTTTTCGCTGAACTCTACGCGGCCCGCGGGACCACGCTTCCATTCCACAGCCAACGAACTATTACTCATCCTATCAGCGCCGATGAACTAGGGAAAGCAGCCTAAAGATTAGAGGAAACACTGCTCCAGGAATTGATGGCATTCGTTCTAAAGCTGCGAAGTATGGTGTAGAAGTTGTTGCACCCCAACTTGCAAATATTATCAATCGAATGTTCGAAGACAATCACATTCCTACCAACTTCGCCCATGCCTCCTTGATACTGCTTCACAAAAGCGGTGACCGCCATGATATTAACAACTATCGACCGATTTCTCTCTTACCCACAATCTACAAAGTCTTGACGAGAGCACTGGCCTATCGAGTCGAAGAAAAAGTGTGCAAATATCTGGCTATTGAGCAAGCTGGGTTTCGACAGCGTTTCTCAGCCACTGACCATTTACAAACTATCAATCAACTCATTGAGAAAACGCATGAATACCATATACCCATCGCATTCCTTTTTCTCGACTTTCAGAAAGCGTTCGATACCGTCGAGTTCGACTCAATCTAGAGAGCTCTTGCCCATTATGGAGTTGATACCGACACAATAACAATGATACGACTCTTGTATCAAGCAGCTACGGCATCGCTTCAGTCTGATGAAACCAATGCTCCATGCAAAATACAGAGAGGAGCTCGCCAAGGGGATGCTCTATCGCCGCTTAGCTTCATCCCGTACCTTCAATTCGCAATTGATTCTGTCCACTGGGAAGATGGGGATGGCTATGATATCTGTGGAAAACAACTTCACTACGCATTTGCGGATGACGTTGTGCGTATAAGTCGTTGCCCAACTCGATTACAGTCAATGACCGTGAAAATTTTGAAGCTTGTCAGCAAATTGGGCTTCAAATAAATGAAAGAAAAACAAAATGGATGGGAGAGGACAGAGATCGCATTTGGAGAACTTCAACAATTACACTAAACGGCAACACCATCGAGCGCGTAGACTCGTTTGTCTATCTTGGTCAGCTACTGCAATGCCCGCGCGATCACGACAAAGAAATCTCTAGACGTATTGGGATGGCATGGAATGCTTTTGGCAAGATACGAAGATTTCTCACCAACAGAAACGTAGCTGTTTACCTAAAACGGCACTACTTTAACAAAATCATCCTTCCAACACTTCTGTATGGCTGTGAAACATGGGCAACCACTAGGAAGTCAATGCTGAAACTGCTCCGATGCCAAAGAGCAATGGAAAGGCTGATGCTTGGATTTCGACTGAAGGACTCCAAATCTTCAATTTGGATTCGTTCTATAACGAAGTTGAAGGATGTGGTAGCGGCGGCACGGAGAAGGAAGTGGCGGTTCGCTGGGAAGATCTAT